CCAGGAGCTGATCTTGATAGTGAGGCCCGTTCCACTTGAAAGTGCAAGTTCCTTCCTCTCACTCATGAGGAAAACTGTTCTGTCAGGACTACAGGTATCTTCCTAGGAATTCAAAATGGCAGCACCATTGTAGAAAAATATACGTTGCTAAGCTTTCCCCCACTCGAACTTGCATTACATAGTAATAATTTATCCAGCTGTAGGCAATTCAGAAATGCTCAGTGTGCTTTTGTGCCAAAGCAAGGACCGTAGAGCAGCGTATCTGAGGTGAGGCATGAACAAAGCAGATGGTGCGTTCTTAGGGATCTTTACAAAATGAGTTCCCGTTTTCTGTGCATCCTGAGGACATGCTCGCTGCAGCCTCTGTCTTGCCCCTGTTACATCCTGCTCACTCTCAGGGCGAAATGAAGTCCTCTTTCTCGTCTCAGTGGTCTCAGTGGCACTTCATGTGGCATCCTCCACACGCGGGGCCTGCAGCAGCAGGTGGTGGCAGTTAGGGGTGAGCTTTGGCCTTTGACAGTGCGTCAGCTTGCTGCGCTGGTGCCATCCCTGCACCTTTCCCACCTCCACCTTCGCTTGCACATAGTGCCGGGACTGTTCTGCGCTTTCTCCAGTTGCAGCTCCCTGCACATCTCCTCGGGTTACAGGTGGAACATGAAGCGGGTCACCAAGGTCTGGCTCCACAGATGGACTGGACCGCTCCTTAGCTTGTTCCTCGTTATCAAACAGAATTTTCCTGCGGCCACTCCTGTTTCTCCCAGCCCTCTCTTTTGCTGTTTTCCCTGCTGGTAGAGATAGCCCTTCTGCAGTTCGGGACTCTGGCAAGTTTCCAGCTCTCTTGTCAGCATGCGCAAAACTAGCAGCACTAGTAAAACCCGAAAGGTCCAGAAGTTTAGTGTGCAGTTGAGTGTGCACCTAAGGTTCGGGTTCAGTCTCTTTGCTGGTCCCCTGCATCTGAAGCTCCTTCCTCTGGCTGATTGTGCTTGCAGTTTGTTCATTCATTCATTCATTCAGTTCTATTTCTTGGTTTAATTCTAGTTGATGCTTTTAATTTTTTTGCACAGGCTTTCACGGTGTAGTTCAGGCGAACTTTGCACTCACTGTGCAGCCCAGGCTGGTTTCAAACTCGTGTAATCCTCCTGCCTCAGCCTCCCAAGTGCTGGGATTACAGGTGTAGGCCACCATGTCTGGCCCAGTTGCTTTTCCTTTTCCTTCTTTCTCAAATCTAGTGTATTAGCTTTCTTTCTATCAGTTTTTAAATCTTTGAGATTTATTATTTCTACAAACTTGTGAACAGCCTGTGTTCTATAATGATATTCTTTTCAAAGGCAGCTTTAAGATTATTGATCTCTTTCTCCTTTTTTTTTCCTTTTTTCTTTTTTTTTTTTTTTTTTTGAGACAGGGACTTGCTATGTAGTCCAGGCTGGCCTTGAACTCACAGCAGTCCTCCTGCCACAGCCTCCCAAGTACTGGGATTACAGGCCTGTACTACCACACCCAACCTTCCTCCTTCAATTTATATTTTTTCTGCCTTCTTCATTTTATTGGTTAGCTCATTTTTTTTTCTGTTAGCAATTCAGTACCTTTGGTTAGCAAGCTGGGTTTTTTCTTCAGGCTAACAGTGTGCGCATCATCTGAAATCTCTTATCTGAAGCAGCTTTCTTGCTTTCTTGGGTCAACTCAGAACACTTCTTCTAGAAGTCCTCATGTCAGCTGCCGAGACCCGGCTTCCATTTCTGTTTCTGCTACACCCAGCTGAGTAGTTTCTGCTACACCCAGCTGAGTAGAAAGAGCTTCTTTTTTTTTTTTTTTTTTTTTTAAGTGCCTATACCTTTTTTAAATGTTTGGTTTTTGTCCTCAAGTTCTTTTCATTTCTTTACCTGGGTTTTATAAAGTGTCGGGAAATACTGTTAAGCTTTGAGCTGATCTTGTGGCTCCTGAATGAGTCCTGCATTTCCTCTGTATTGTTTTGTAAGCTGAGCTAACTGAAATTCTAATAATCTGTTGCCTTCTAATAAAGTATTTATTTCCTGTTTCTTCTGCTTTTCTAAGCCTTTTAAATTAATTTTCTGCCTCAAATGTTTGAGTCTTCAATGCATTTTGTAACCACAGTCGCTTATTTGATTCCTCCTCCAACTACAGGGTTGAATTGTTTGTTTGGTTTTTTTTTGGTACCAGGAATCAAACTCAGAGCCTTGTGCTTGCCAGGCAAGTGCTGCACCACTGAGCTACCTCCCCAACCCTGTTTGTTTATGTCTGAGGCAAGATCTCACTCTGTAATTCAGGCTGGCCTTGAACTCACTATGTAGCCCATGCTGCCCTCAAATTTATGGGAACCCTCCTGTCTCAGCTTCCTGAGAGCTGGGATTATAGGCACACCAGCAGGATTCTTAACCTCATCTTCTCCTTTCTTTCTTTCTTTCTTTCTTTCTTTCTTTCTTTCTTTCTTTCTTTCTTTTTTTTTTTTCAGTCAAATGCTTTAGCTTCTGTGAGACAGTTTGAGATCTACATCTGCCATGGAGCACTGTTACCCAGCTGAACAACTCTAGCCTCTCTTTCCCTTCAGCTTCTTTTCCATCGCACACATTGCAGCCAGCTCTGCCTCTTCCTTAGACTCATCCCTGTCAGTTAAATGAGCTTTGGTTACTTTGTGTTTACTTTCCTCTTGTTCTAACCTTTGATGCAACAGAAATGTATCTCTGAATTGTTCTTTTCTGGCCTGGTATGGTGGTACAGGCCTCTAATCACAGCACTAGGCTCTAATCCCAGCACTCAGGAGGCTGAGACAGGAGGATTGCTGTGAGTTTGAGGGCAGCCTGGGCTATAGAGTGAGTTCAAGCTCATAAATAAATAAATAGTTCTTATCCCTTCCTGAGTGACTAAGCACTGCTTGAGACTCCTTTCTTTCTCCTGGTCTTTCAAGATCATGTCTGAGATCCTTCACTTCTTTAGTTTTTGTTTTTCTTTTTGTTTTTGTTCTGTTTTGTTTCTTTGAGACAGGGCCTTGCTATGTTGTGCAGGCTGGCCTCAAACTCACTGTGTAGCCCAGGCTGACCTTGAACTCACAGCGATCCTCATGCCTCAGCCTCCTGGGGTTGTAGGCATGCACCACCAGGCCCCACCTCACCTCCTCTGGTGTGATCTGTGCCTGAAGGTCTCCAGTGTCTCAGATGTGCGTTCTCTCTCCTCCAGCTCCCAACACAGTGTACAGTTGGTAGAAATCCTTGTCTATTTGACTTGGAGTTCTCTGAAATTTTTTCTTTCCGGCAATTCTCTGTTTGAGGACTCAAGCTGATGAAATGATTTGCTCTTTTCTCTATGCCGCTTCCTTAACCTTACAGCTGTGTCCAGTTCTGTCCTGTGCCACTCACTGACTTCTTCCACCTGCCGTTGTCCTTGTGCCACTTCTCCTCAGCAGGCTGCGGATTCTGACTGACTTCGTCTCCCGTCTGATTCTGGGCCGTGGAGGCTTCACGCTGGCATTTCTCCGCTTCGCCGTCTGCTCATCTCTTGTGGCGCTCATCAGCCCTGTGTCGTCACGTGTTGTCCTCTCAATTCGAGACACCGTAGATTCTAGCTTTCTTGTCTGTGTCTAGCTTTAGGTTTGAGGTTCGGCCCTTCTGTTCTGTGCCATCTTTTCATTGCGTTTCATCAGGCAGCTGTTCTTACAGCTTGCAGATGGTTTTTTGCAAACTCTTCTGCAAGCTTGTATCCACATGAGCTAGTTCTCTTATCATTAGAATTTGCTGAAGATAAGTATCTAGGGTTGCTGTAATATGTAAATCCTACAGAAGGTAGTTGATTGCCAACAAAAGCTTTAGAAATAGGGAATGCTCTCCACCTCCTTTCTCTTCTAGGCCATCAAACTTACTAGTGTCCGTGTCACCACTTAAGTCAGTACAGCAGGCACTGCAGTGTCTTGCGGTGTTTCCCAGGCCCACTGATCTTGTTTGATTTTTGAGACAGGATCTCACTATGTATTGTAGTTCAGGCTGGCCTTGAATTTATGGCAGTCCTCCTGTCTCAGCCTCCCAAGTGCTGGGATTACAGACGTGGGCCACTGATCCCGACCCCACTATTCATTTTTGAAGAAGAAATGTCCTTTGATTTCTTCTACACCATTTCTCCCTGGTCTCACTTCTCTGTCAGTAAGGAAGGCACACGCAAGACATTCCTTCTTCTGATATTATCATCAGGGAAGGTAAGTGAGTTTTTATGGCTCATAATCTTACTGTAAGCTCTAAGCAAAGAATCTGCACAGAAAGCTCCATCACCTACCAGCATTTCATGTAAAAATATCCGACCTACCCCTGGCCCCATTCTCCCCATAATAACCATCACCGCCAGAGGGGTTTTAATACTGCAGGGGAAGTGGCATCCGCCGTCTCGGCTGCTATGTCACAGCATACCACAGCTTCCTTACTCATCTTCGGACGAGTACCAAAGGCTGCTGGCTTCACAGGTCCAGACCCCCCCGGTAGCACGGTAGCCGGCCTCGCCTCTCCAAGTGAAGTGCCTGGCACCGGTTACATCCTGTGTGGGAGCCTCTGCTCAGGCTCATTAGATGTACAAGATCTCCGTGGCCTGCCTCGGATCACCCTGCAGCGATAGCGACCTCTTCAGATGCATGACAAAGCTCGACAACCCAAGGACTGTTAGCAAAAGCTTTGATGACTCTGCTCCCCAGAACAAAGCAGAGAAAGCAGAGTGGGCTCTCCTGATCATTTTGAAAGTGTGAGACGCTGCATTGCCCATGCCTTCCTGGTAGATTCGTGCCTTACGCCTGCAGCGCACCTCTCCATTCATAATCCTCAGCTTTCATTCGTCAATCTCTGACTGTATTTATTGTGTCCTTACACCTGCCCTGGCCGCCCTGGCCACGGAGGGAGGAGACCCGGGACGGCCGGGGAGAGCAGAGAGGCAGCCAGGCGGGAGGTGACCAGCCACCTGCCGAGCAGGCTGACACAGACACGAAGCCCAGGTGCGACTCTGCTCAGGCCGGGTGTGTCTTGTGCCGTTCCCGGTAAAAACGTGTGGACGCCCTTGGCCTGTTTGTGTTTTAAGTCAGTGCCCGGTGCCACATACCCTGTGCTCGCCAAGGTTTAGCAAGTTGTCTGAGGACGTGGAACATGTTTCTGAAGAAACTTAGTTCGTGAACTTTGTGCCAGTTTTTCCCAGAAGGGGTAAGTGAGGGCAGCAAAGTGTGCCTTCTGCCCCTCCATGTTCTCCCCCAAATAATCAGAGTCAGAACGGCTGGGGAGGTTCAGCGTTGGCTGCAGTGATTCATTATTTGCCAGCTGCAAAAGCAGTTTGTAAGACAGTTTACAAAGAAATCACAGTGATTCTGACAGTTCTAAAAATGTTAGTCTGCCAAGTGCATGTCTGCAGCCCAGCACTCTGGGAAACCGAGGCAGGAGGATCACAAGTTTGAGCCCAGCCTGAGCAACTTAGTGACTTAACAGGACCCAGTCTCAAAAAAGAAAAAGGACTGGGGGTGTAGCTCAGTGTGAAGGCCCTGGGTTCAGTCCCTAGTACGTACACACACACACACACAAACACGCACACACACACACACACACAGTAGCTACGACCCAGTGCTTGTGTCTCCGCAGTGTCTCTTGCCAGCTCCCCGTCCCCTTCCCCCCACCCTTCTAAGTGTCCCCGGGAAGAGGGCTGCAGGCCTGCACTGGTGTCCTAGACTCCCTCTTTCCCTTCCCCCAGATGTCATTAAAGCCATCAGCACCATCGCTGTGCAGGACGAAGCGGGGGGTCTCTGGCCTAGGCTGGCTGTCTTCTCCTCAGCACCCAGAGTCCTTCACGGGGCGCGACTCAGCAGTCTGCAGGTGTTGGATCCGGAGTCCGGGGAGACCACGTACAGCTCAGGTACCGAGGCTGCGCCCCGCTGCTCCCCAGCCAGCACCCGCCCTTGGCCCACCTGCAGTGGCTGAGTGCAGGCCCCGGCCCCCGGCTCCCACACAGGCGAGGAGATGATCCAAGCTAGGGCGGGGCAATGCGAGGGCACAGGTATGCCAGCCAGCCCTGCCCACCCCAGACCGGTCTGACTCCAGCAGCTCTCCTCTTGCAGGCATCAGTGACAGTGAGGAGCTGAGCAGCCTGCAGGTCCTTGATGGTGACACTTTCGCATTCTGCTGCGCCTCAGGCCGCCTGGGGCTGGTCGATACCCGCCAGCCATGGGCACCTTTGGAGAGCCCGGGCCAAAGCCCTGGCTCCGGCGGCCAGAGATGGTGTGCGGAAGTGAGGGCCGGGGGCTCGGGCCCTGGGCCGTGCTTCTCCAGCCTGGGAGCAGATGGGCAGCTCCGCCTCCTTGATGCACGAGATCTCTGCCATCCCATGAGCTCCGTCCAGTGTGCAGTGTCCATGCCAAGCCCCAGCCCGGAGCTGCTACGAGTGACGTGGGCCCCAGGCCTGGACAACTGCCTGGCCATCTCAGGTACTGCTGAGCCTGGTCCGGTGTCTTCAGGGGACGGGAGCAGGATCAGGAGGGAGCCGGCAGCCCCTGAGGAAACTGGTGCTCAGAGGGGGCTGGGCAGTGACCCTCTAGCCCACAGTGCAGCCCTTCCCACCCTGGCCACTGCGTGGCCACAGCCTGCAGCAGCCTCTCTGGGCCCCAGGGATTCGGGGCTTGGACAGGGCCTCTGGGAGTGGGGCAGGTGAGGAAGGGCCCAGGTGCCCACCGGAAAGAGCAGGACAGGAGGACTGCAGGATGCAGTGTGCGCGCCTCCAGCACAGTGCTGGGCAGCAGGGAAGAGCTGCTCTTCAAAGGCTTCCGTCGCCCTGTCAGGTAGAGACAAGGCCGTCCACTGAGAAGGACGTAGGGGTGCGCAGATTGAGATTTGGGGCCCGTTGGGAAGGTGGGAAGCCTCCCAAGCCACCATATCCCAGGGAAGGGCTAGTGGCGACTTCATACCATGGTAGAGGTGAGAGACGCTGCCTGTTCAGGTGAGCCTTGGGCCTGGCACCCAGCAGGTGCGCACAGGACCCCTGGGACCCCTGCAGGGAGTCGCCCCCGCCCATGTGGGCAGATGCCGCACTCCCTTGGCAGGCGATCAGCCTCTGGTCCTGGGAAACCTCCACTTTAGCCTCTTATTTTTTTGTACTGGGAATCAAACTGAGGACCTCGTGACTGCCAGGCAGGTGCCGTGCCGCTGAGCTGTATCCCCGGCCTGCCTTAGCCTCTTTAGCTGCCACCACTGGAGAAAGGGCTTCCGGGACTCCGGAGTGACCCTCTGCTCTGTCTTCCTCAGGCTTTGATGGGACGGTCCAGGTCTATGATGTCACATCTTGGGAAGGAGTCGGGAGCCAAGTGGAGCCGCTGTTCACCCACAGAGGTCACATCTTCCTCGAGGAAGGCGAGGGGCACGCTGCTGCGCTGGTCACCACCCACACCTGGCACCCCTCCAAACCCAGGACTTTGTTATCGGCAGCCAGCGACGCCTCTGTGCACGTGTGGGACTGGGTGGACCCTCGTGCCGCCTGCTGACACCAGGCCTGGGGTGGGATTGAAGGGCTGCAGGCGCCGGTCCCTGCTGCCAGCTGTGTGGCCTCGAGCGAGTCAGCCGACCTCTCTCAGCCTGTTTTCCTCTCCGTACAGTGACAGTGTTGATGGAGCTGGTCGTGATGGCACGCACCTGTAATCACAGCACTCAGGAAGCTGAGGCAGGAGGCCATGAGTTCAAGGCCAGCCTGAAATGCATAGTAGACCCTGTCTCAAGAAAACCAAACCAGGAACAGAGATTTAGCTCAGTGGCAAATATGGGGTCCTGAGTTTGATTCCTGATACAAAAAAAAGAAAAGAAAAACAAACTAAAACAAGACAATGAAGATAGTAATGACTTCCAGGGTTGTTGAGAAGGTGAGGAGTAGTAGATTAAAGAGTAGTTGGACCAGGTATGGTGGGCCACACCTGTAATCCCAGCCACTCAGGAGGCTGAGGTAGGAAGACCACAAGTTTGAGGCCAGCCTGGGCACCTTAATTACTTAGTAAGACTTTGTCTCAAAGTTAAATAAATAAAGGGCTGGAGCTGTAGCTCAGTGGGAAGGCCCTAGGAATTACAAGAGAGAACACATTCAGAAGCTGCTGTTAGATCTGGGGAAGCATCCCACCCAGCTTACACTGGCAGGGTTCGGTCTCTGTCTTCACAGTATCATAGTGACGGAAGAGTTCATGACTGTAAATGTGTTCTGTGAACTTTTTTTTTGTCTTTTTGAGACAGGATCTCACTATGCAGTTCAGGCCAGCCTTGAGCTCACTTTGTAGCCCAGGCTGGCCTCGAATTCTTTTAACGATTCTCCTGCCTCAGCCTCCTGAGTGCTGGGATTACAAATGTGTGCCACCACTCCCGGCTTTGTGAACTTTTTTATAGAAGAAAATATGTCTGGGGGCCAATAAGCCTGACAAAACGTGAGCCCTGGTAGCAGTTAAGCAGCGAGCAGCAGGAAAGGCTGCCGTGTTGCCTCTCGGAGTGCCAGTGCAGTGCCTCCATCACTCTCTGCCCCTGGTGGAGCTTCCATGATGCCCAGTGCCAAGGGGCAGCAGGCTCTTCATCCAGCTATAAACTGGACCTGGTTCAGTTGGGCCAGAAGGCAGATAACCAAGGCCCTGTTAAATGACAACTAAATTTCCTAATCTTGGTGGGTGTGGTGGCACAAGTCTGTAATATCAGCGCTTGGGAGGCTGAGGCAGGAGGATCCTGAGTTTGAGGCCAGCCTGAGCATTTTAATCAGTTCAAGGGCAGCCTGAACTACATGGCAAGACCCTATCTCCAAAAAACCACACAAAAAAAGCTAGGTATGATGGCGCACACCTGTAATTCAGCACTTGGGAGGCTGAGGCAGGAAGATCACTGTGAATTCAAGGCCAGTCTGAACTACAAAGTGAGACCCTGTCTCAGAAAAAAAGTATTGATCTTTTGCAGTTACCAGTAGCACAATGAACAGCTTTTGTATACATGAGCAATATGTATGATAAGTTTCTAAAAATAAAATTGCTGAGGTAGAGGATGTGTGCATTTTGGTTTGATAAACACTGCCAAGGCGCCCCCCCCATACCATGCCAGCTTCTGCTCCCATCAAGGGCAGCGGGCCAGCCTCTGCCCCTCGCCCTCATCAGCAGCCGGTTTACCACCTGCCCAGCCTCTGCCTGTCTGTAAACACAAAATGGTTACTGTAGCTTCACTTCGCCTTTCTCCTACATGTGAGGTTGGGATTCCATATATTTAGAAGTCCAGGGCCAATACTGCTACAGAGGTTAATGGGAGAACAGGAGTCAGCTGTCACCTGCCTGGCAGCTCAGGCAGAGCTGGTGGCCTCTGTCCCCCAGGGGCTTGAAGGCCTGAGAGAGGTCTCTTAAGAGCTTCACAAACGGTTCCTTCTGGCAGGGGCTAGAGAAAGTATTAAAGGGTGTGTGCATCTCGCTGTCATGTACAGTCTCACTGCAGCATTTTTTAAAGGGTTCTCAGGCATTTTGCTTCTGAAATTATTTGATTACTAATCCACACTAGTGGGTGTTGATGTTTATTTATTCACTTACTTATTGATACTGGAGACTGAACCCAGGGCCTTCACACAGCTATGCCCCCAGCCTTTTCTTCTGTTTTGTTTTGTTTTGTTTGAGACAAGTTCTAAGTTGCTGTTACAGCTTGTGTCTAGATGTCCACCCAAAGCTTCGTGCTGGGATAGAAGCGGCTGAATCTAGAGTGTGATGCTGGGATTAAGGGTCGATGATCACTAAATCAGTCCACTGATTGGTTTGGCACCGCCCCAGTCCCAGTAGCCTAGATTAGGGTATAAAAAGAAGAAAGAAGCTGCTAAGGTCCCTTGCTTGCTGTGCTACCTTCTGCCCGCCGTGGACTGTTTCCCGCTGCCACGACACCCTGCCACCTTGGAGCCAGCTGACTATAGACTGAAACTTCTACAAACTGAGCTGAAAAACCTTTCCTCCTTTAACTTGGGGTGTCAGGTATTTTGTCTCAGCAATGAGAAAAGTAAGATAGTTACTTTTACTAAAACTGGGCTTGAATATGTGAAGTTAGTAGAGGTTCCATTTTAAAGACATTTAATGTTTTCACTTTCAAGATGGGATCATTCCTAGCATTTCCTGGGGTCTCCTCAGTCATTTCTGCCTCTTCGGGAGAGCTCATTTCGTAGCTTCTCCCCAGCTCCGTGCTCAGCAGTGTCACGTTGATAGCTTGAAATTACTATGGTGGGAGTATTTACATCTCAGAAATTGGCAAATGTTGCAAAGCAGCTGAATTGCCGGCATGCCACTGAGGAAGCTATAGTATTTCACCAAGTAAAAGCAGAAGTGAGTAATTTAGAAAATAGTAGAATTGATGTGTGAATTTAAAAGCCGCTTTGCTGAAAAGCACTGGTGGGACGTGTAGCAGTCAGTCACGGCCTGGCCCGGAAGCCTCAAGCCCACGGGCGAGGCTGCAGGGAGGGAGGGAGGGAGGGAGGCGTCTGGAGGCGGCGGCCAGGGCAGCTGCCACCCGGGGCTGGGAGCGGGGAGCACAGAGCAGAGGGGTCTCCTGGTGAGAGCTGTGAGCTGCTGCCCGGCTGCCCAAAGGATGCCAAAGACTGCAAGGAGTAGAGACAGCAGGTGAGAGCCGCCTTCCGATTGTCTGTCAGCGTAGGAGGATTAGGGTGTAAGTGCACTGGCCTGATTTACGGTGCTTACTATTGACACACGTTTTAGAGCTTGTGACTCTGTACCCTGCCCAGGGCCATGGCCATGGCCTTCTCCCAGGATCAGATGTTTGAATGATGGCCTCAGAGTTAGTGTGATTGTTCGGTCACTGCCACTGCCTTGTCCTGCAGATGAGGACAAGGGCCGCAGCGAAGTGAGGTGTGCTGTGGACGGGAGGAAGGAGCCCCGTGGGTTAAGGGCCCCCTGGCTAGGCCGCCCAGGGCCATGAGGGAGGCAGGAACCCTTGGCTTTCAGCTGCTCACCGTCCTGTGAGGGTGCTGTCCCTTACCCAGGGTCCCTTACCCAGTGGGCTGCGGAGGGGACATGCCGGAGTGACTGACTCTCTGCACCCTTCCTGACCTTAGAGTGGTTTGCAGAGCCCGGAGGCTGACGGCGTAGTGACGAAGACACGAGTGTCAGGGCGATGTGGGTCGTCCCCTCTGTGAAACGGGGCCTTGTCACAGGACGGTCTGGTGAGCGGCTGAGATGGTCACTGAGGCTGTAGGTGAAGCGCTTGGCACAGGGCCGGACATGCCACGGACACAGAGGCACTGAACATGCAGGGATGTCACCCACATTCTTGGCTCAGGGACGATGTTGCCGTGTTGAGGAGGTTGAGGCTGAAGCCCTGGAGGAGGACATGAGAAGAGCCCTGTTTTGGGGCTTGTGAATTCTTCACAGACATCAGTCGCTGTCCTGGGGTTCAGGCTCGGTGTTTAGAACCGCCTCTCCCTCTTCAACCGTGCCACTCAGGACTCACCGGAAATCAGATTCCTTCGGGTCAAGGCAAGTGCCCTGAACCTGACGCCAGTGTCCCTGCCATCTATACATGAGAATGAGGATTGTTGCTATTAGTTTTGTTTCTTTTTCTTTTTTGGAGACTGGGTCTCACTACATAGCCCAGGCTGGCCTCAAACTCATGGCAAGCCTCCTGCCTCAGCCTCCCGAGTGCTAGGATTATAGGCATGCACCTGTGGACTGTTTCTCTCTGCCACGACACCCTGCCACCTTTATTTGGCTCACAGTTTGTAGCGGTTTCACTCCATAATCAGCTGGCGCCGAGGCAGGGTGGCATCACAGAGGAGAAAAGTTCATGGGGGTAGAAGGTAGCAAAGCAACCCAGCAAGGGACAGCCATAGTTCTTTCTATCCCTTATATCTTATCCAGCTACTTAGGGTCCCGAGTGCTGGGATTATAGGCGTGCACCACCATTAATCCCTCACACCCTTAACCCTAGGGCCCTTGACCCTAGCACTGCACCATGAATCAATCCCCGCCTCACACACTCTAGATCCAGCCACCTTTGACAAAGCCCACCTATGACTGCATGAGGCTTTGGGGGACATCTACACACAAGCCATAGCACTGACCTTGGGAAAAATTCTGAAATTGATTTCTAGAATAGTTCTCAAACTCTCCAACAACAGGCTCTTTGCAAAGTCTCAGTGATGGCAGCAAACTGATGTCCTGTGAAGGGTCTATTTTTGGAAAGCAGAACCTGGGCGGAGCCAAGTCGCACAGTTAAGACAGACGCTGAGACTGGATAAACAAGGTGTCAGTTCTGTCAGCATTTGTTGTTGTTTTCTTTTTGGGGGGACAGGTCTCAGTACGTAGCCCAGGCAATCCTCCTGCCTCAGCCTTCTGAGTGCTGGGATTACAGGGATGTGCCACCACACCCGGCTTCTGCCAGCATTTATTAAGTGCTTCCCAGTTCCAAGCTGCAAACTGCTTTCCTGCTGGGAGAGCATGGAGCTGAGGCACCCTGAGATGGCCTGAAGACCACCTTTAAGAAATTCTTAAAGAAAAACTCTTAATGTTGTGTTGAAAAAAAAAAAAAAAAAAAAAAAAGGCAATGACATGTAAAGTACAGCTCATCACAGTGAGTTCTTTTGATAAATGATATTTATTTTGGTAAGTTCTTTGTTTTAAGAAAAAAGCCTCATTACTGAATAATCACATTTTATGAGTCTAATCAGGTACCATGGTAATAATGTAGACTGTGCTGTGTTCCAGGGTTAATGAGTCTCTGGAATGCTGTCAGGAAAGAGTGTAAAAGCAAACACAATAGAAACTATTTTAGGAGTGAAAAACTGTTCCATTTATTCCCAAGCCCTGTTTGTTCTGCACATCAGAGGCCATCCAGGGACTGTGCTCCTGCGCAGGCCCAGATCAGCCCTGCCCACAGCCTCCCCGGCTCAGGAGCGCTGCCCAGGCCCACAGGAAGCCCCTCTCCTGCACCCGCTGGGCCACCGTCCAGTGCACATGGCGGCTGCGTGGCGGCAGCAGTTTTTCATGGACTCGGAAAATTCCCCAAAATTCTTGGTTCCTCAGCCCCAGTGCATCCTGCCACCTTCCCGTTCTCCAGGCCTTGGCTTGGTGGTGGTGGCCTGCAGCAGCAAAGGAGGGAGTCTGGCCATGTGAAGACTCCACAGGGACAAGGCCCAGCCCAGCCACCCTGCTCTCCTGCAGCTGCTCCCACCTGCCCTGCCAACCCCGAGGCAAAACACAGGATTTCTAGGCAAGGAAGCGCACGCCTGTAGCTCTAACACTGGGGAAGATGAAGTAGAAGGATCACTGCAAGTTGGCCCTGTCTTGAAAAAAAAAACCAAACCCACAGAGCATGACCAAATGATTCAGCAGTTCTGCAACAGGCTCAGAAGTGCCCACAGTGACCGTGGAGCCACCTGCTCCCAGCTGGCTGCAGCAGAATTCGAAGTGTCCTCCCAGCCACATGCACGTCTCAGGCATTCCAGGCAGTTCTCTTATTTAACAGCAGGCAGCAACACTCAGAAAAGAACCGGCTGGGCCTTCCTTGAAGAGCCCGAGTGAACTTGCAAGGAAAATTGCAGCTTCCAGGGCCAGGGAATAGCAAATTGCAGTTGGACGCAAATACCAGAGTATCACACATCACCCCCACGGCGGCCACTGCGCGGGGGAGGGCGGGGGGTGCTCTATGTGAACGACTCAGAAGGACGCTGTCCTGTCTTACCTGCAGCTGTCTCCCAGCAGGGCTACAGCCTTTGCTACACTTCAGGATGCTGCTGTGGGCCCCAGATCTGATCTCCTGGGGAAAGGAGGGTCAGGAACTGTTCTGGGACCAGGAGCTCCTGGATCTGCTCTTTCGTACTGTCTGGTCTCAGCCAGCGGCAACAGAGCTTCCGGAGCTGGATGAGGCCTTCCCAGGGTTCTGGTGCTTCCTGGGAGCAGACATGCCAAAAGCTGTGGCAGGAGGGCTCTGGTCCAGAGGCATTGCCTGGAAGGGAAACCTCCTGCTTCCAGCAGGAATCTTCTTCCAGCCTCACTGTGCGAAGCTCTTCCTGCGCTTCAGGAGTTTGTGTCTGTTGGGCCACAGCCACTGCCATCGTTCAGCTCAGAGAACCCGACAGCTGTGCTCCAAAACTCAAACCTCTCCCAGCGTCTCACTGGAAAGCCACCTGCCCTTGAGTCACTACGTCGAACTCTTGAAATCCTAGAAACAGAAACACAAATTACAAAGTGAACTCTAGTGAAAATCACAAGGTTAGTCCCACAGCACTGAGGCAAAGAAGCAAAGAAGACAGCCTCGCAGATGGCCCCTCTATACCCTGTGGAGTGTGGTTCTCTATGACAGGCGAGCCAGCTTCTGAAGGTTGCTAAGAGTCGAGGACTAGGGATCAGGGCCAATCTGGGCCAATCAGCCTCCTAAGTGCTGGGATTACAGGCATGTACCACCATGCCCGGCTGCCACCTTATCTTTGACAAAAGTGCGAAACACATTTGCTGGAACATAGCCTCTTTAATAAGCGAGGCTGGAAAAACTGGCTCTGCACATGCCAAAGATTAAAACTGGACACATATCTTTCACCATGCACCAAACTAAATTTGAAATGGCCACAGATCTAAATATTAAACACTAAATCTGCTGCAAGATAGAATAGATAAAATTCGTAAAGACATTGGTGTAGGCACTTTATGAATAAAACCCTGATCGCACAGGAAATATCACAAAGAATCAACAAGTGGGATCTCATCTTATTAAAAAGGTTTTCACAGCAAGAGAAGCCACCAAGAGTGAAGAGACAACCACAATGTGGGAAAAAATGTTTTCCAGCTGTTCCTCAGACAGGATTGCTCTGGAAAACATATGAAAAACTCAAAAAAAAAATCAGACCTCCCAAATGGAAAGACCCAATCCAAAAACGAGCATGCGAGATGAATATACATTTCTCAGATGAAGAAATTCAAACAGCAAATAAATATATGAAAAAATGTTCAACATCATCACTGGTCATTCGAGAGATGCAAATTAAAACAACACTGAGATTCCATCTCACCCCAGAAAGAATGGCCATCATCAAGAAATCAACCAATAACAGATGCTGGAGGGGCTTTGGGGAAAAAGGAAACTTCTCCACTGTTGGTGGGAGTGTAGACTGGTGCAACCACTGTGGAAATCAGTGTGGAGATTGCTCAAAGAACTAGGATTAGTGGTCCCATTTGACCCAGCTATTCCCCTGCTGGATATCTTCCTATAATTAAAAACATTGTACTGCCAGGGTGGTGGCTCATGCCTGTAATCCCAGCACTCGGGAGGCTGAGGCAGGAGGATTGTTGCATGTTCGAGACCAGCCTGGGCTACAAAGTGAGCTCAAGCCCCGCCTGAACTGCATAGCGAGACCCTGTCTCAAAAAGACAAAAAACAAAAACAAAAAACATTGTACCACAGTGATATATATGCACCCATGTTTATAGCAACACAATTTGTAATAGCTGGATCTTGGAAAAAACCCAAATGCCCATCAACTGAGGAATGGATAAAAAAGATGTGATCTTTTTATACAGTGGAGTACTACTCAACCATAAAAAAGTATGAACTGGAGACGTTGATAAATAAAATGGATGCAACTTGAGATCATACTCATAAGTGAAATAAACAAGATGCACATGTACAAATATCTTATTGTCTCCCTAGTGTGAGACACTGAAAGAGTAAATAAGACCCAAAATGTATAATAGATATTGTGAAATGGGAAGAAACTGCTCAAAGAGAAAGAGAAACTGGGATGGGGAAAGGAAAAAAGAAGGAAAAAGCAAAATATATATTTACACACACAAGACAGTTAAGATAGTTATACTAATTTCTCTTAGTTCACTGAAAAGAAAGGTTTGAGCTAATATTTTCTGGAAATTTAAATGCCTGTATCTTGAACTCTGAGTAACTAATTTAAAGATAACATGAAACCAGCCTGGGCACTCAAGGCCACCCTGAACTGCATAGCGAGACCCTGTCTCAGACAAAACAAACAAAAGAAAAAAAGAAAATAAATAAAAGAAAAAAGCGCTTAGGGGCCGGGGATATAGCTCAGTGGCACAAGCGCCTGCCTGGCAGATTCAAGGTCCTGAGTTCGATTCCTGGTACCAAAAAAGGAAAAAGAAAAACAATAACCGGGCGTGGCCGGGAGTAGTGGTGCACTCAAGTAATCTCAGCACTCAGGAGGCTGAGGCAGGAGGATCGTTACGAGTTCGAGGCCAGCCTGGGCTACAAAGTGAGCTGAAGACCAGCCTGAACTGCATAGTGAGCCCTGGTCTCAAAAAGACAAATAAATAAATAAATAAAACAATACACAAGGTATTAACCATTGCTATCCTCCGCCCACCAGGCCGGACGCTCGGGGCCAGTAGCCTAGGAAGTACTCCCTCCCCTTACTGCATTTGCCTCCCCAGAACAAGGGACGCTCGGCCGAGCAAAAGCCAAAAGGACGCTGCTCTCCGCCGTCACGCCCACCCAGAGGTGTGAGGCGGCCCAGGCCCCAGGTGACACCCACTCCTGCCCGTCTAGGGCTTGCGGCTGCGGACGACTCAGCCCCATAGAACTTTCTCCGCGGCCACGTGAAGTCCCAAGCAGCGCTCGAAGCCCAGCACAGACCCTCAGCTGTAGCACTAGAGCCGCCAGTGGCTACCGGAAGCGGAAGCCCAGCGCCGGAAGGCCTGGTACGCTCCCGAACTACATTTCCCGAAGGGCTCTGTCTTTCGTCGAACAGCAGCATTAACCAATAAACTATGAGAGCGGCTCAGGTTTGCCTCTGACGAACATTGAGGACTACCCGCTTGTGGGGGTCTAGCGCCCAGACTAGAGCAGGTGCAGCTGAGGGGTGTTGGTCCTGCGTCCTGGGGGAGGTGGGAGCCTCGCCCTGCGCCGCGCTGGTGGCTCTGAGCATCAGGGCTCTGTTCAGAGCGTTTCCTCCTAAGGCGTTAGGGCAGCTGAATAACCCGGGGCGCTCGGCCTGAGGTCATGGTTAGTATGGCCCTGGAATCCCAGCTCAGAGTCTCTGCCACTTAAAGTTTGTTTCTCACTGGGAGACCGAGGCAGAAGGATCACAAGTTCGAGCCCAGCCTAGGCAACTTATCGAGACCATCTCATGAGAAATAGAAAAGAAATATATATATTATGAGCCCTAGTTTCAGTCCCCAGTTAATGAGGATGGTGTGTTCTTGATGCCTGCTGTGGTAATGCTTCACTTCTGCGATCTCCCTCCTGGCCCATTGTGCACACAGTCCTGGTTGGTTCGAGATAAGTACCACTGATGCTTATTCATTCAACAACCAATTATAGGCTCGGCGTGGTGGTGCACACCTGTAATTCCAGCATTCGGGAGGCTGAGGCAGGAGGATGGTTGCCAGTTCAAGGGCAGCCTGGGCTACAAAGTGAGTTCAAGACCAGCCTGAACTGCATAGTGAGACTCTGTCTCAAAAAGACAAAAAGTCAAACAAAAAACCAGCTAATTGTAGAGCAATCTACTTGCTCCACCACTGGACCAGGCCCTGGATTATGCTGTAGTGGCAGAAAGGAAGTAAAGCACTCCTTTGCCCCCGCCCCCCTTAGCAGTTGTTAATGAAAGCTGTACAGAAGATCCCTCTATTCCTGCATCTTCTCAAGTGTATCTTCAAATGTACCTTGTCCTTTTCCTTTCCTACCTGGTGAGACTGGGCTTCCCACTCCAGCATATTTCTGTTGTATTCCTTCCACTTTAGTCTTGGGGGTGGGTCAGGCCCAGCTGTGCATGGGCCTTTCCCGCCGTACTTGTTCTATGTGGTGCCCCTTCTTCTGTAAACCTGGACTCCTTTGCCAGTCTGCTGACCTTTATAGGTCCTCATGCAACCCGAGCTTCATGGTCCTTTCGGACGTGCACAGGTCAAACATTACACTTCTATATCAGATCTTTGCAAAGAGGAAAAGATATGCTCTTCCCACACTGAATGCCTTTTATGGTTCTTGCTTCATAAGTCACAGAGGAAAGCCGGGCATGGTGGCGCACGCCTGTAATCCCAGCACTTGGGAGGCTGAGGCAGGAGGATCGTTGCGAGTTCGAGACCAGCCTAGGCTACAAGGTGAGCTCAAGGCCAGCCTGAACTGCATAGCAAGACCCTGTCTCAAAAAGACCAAAAAAAAAAAAAAAAAAAAAAAGCACAGAGACTGAACTTCATTTTGGCTGCTGCAAAAATGAAGAGCACACTCCTTCCTCTGAAGGGGTATAGTCTAGCGGAGAGTGCATCTTCTGAAATTACTGCTCCAAACAACCCAAACAGCTCAGAGCCATCTGCTTAGCAATGAATGCAGCAAGTCCAAGTGCTTGGAGACTCACACTGGAGAGGCGGGGAGAGTCCAGGAGGGGGAAGGTGCAGGCTTAGGGACGGGGTAAAGAAGCCACTTTAGGCAGTATAATCAAACAACATGGTGCATGTTTAAATCAAATAATGGAGCCGGGCATGGTGGCGCATGCCTATAATCCCAGCACTCGGAAGGCTGAGGCAGGAGGATTGTTGCGAGTTCGAGACCAGCCTGAGCTACAAAGTGAGCTCAAGGTCAGCCTGAACTGCAGTAAGACCCTGTCTCAAAAAGACAAAAATAAATAAATAAAATAATGTATTACACTAAAAGACACACTGCCATGAACGCCCATCAAGGTACCCTTTGCTTCACACTTATCCCATTGCTCTTGTGACTTTTTGAAGCAGTTCTACAAGTCTTTCCTGAGTGTCACAGGAGATGTGATCAAAACTGAACACTGCTGCTGAGGGTCGTCCCATGGAAAGGCAGCTCACAGAAACATCATGACCTATCCTCATCCACCTTACTCACTGGATCTGGCACTGGGCAACTTCTGGCTCTTCCCCAAAGCCAAAATGACTATGAAAGGTCAACGTTTTAAATGAATTCAAGACATGGAAGCAGCCATGACACCACAGCTAAAGACACTCAGGACAGAGGACTTCCAGAGTTGCTTCAGAAAGTGGCAAGAAAAATGGGATGGGTGTGCTTGAAGCAAGGGGGGGTATTCGAGGGGATTCATGGCAATGTGTCTTTTTTGTTAAATTTATTTAACCATTCACCACTCTCCTATCTTCTCTTCCACGAAGGTTTCCAGGTCAAGGCTTCAGTATGTTCTTTGCAGCCTGGGAGCTAGGACGCAGCCAGGTGGATGTGCAGGGTAAGGAGGGAGGAGCCGTGGCTGACACCCAGGTTTGGGGCTGGGGGAGACTGGGGGACGGGGGCACTCACAGGAAACGTGAGGCGGCGAGGTCCGCTAGTCTCAGGAACAAGTCCAGGAGGGGATGCCAAGAGACAGGAGGCTGGAGACCAGGCCTGGCAGTGCCCTGAGAGCCAAGTGAGACAGCAGGCAGAGGTCCTTACGCTCTGAGGCCCATCCATCCACAGGCTGAGCCCAGAGGGAGGAGCCGAGGGGCAACATGGACAGGTCCTGAGTGCCCATACCACAAGGTCCAGACGCTCAGATTTGAGGAAGTCAAAGGCACAAGGCCAGCGAGGGGACTGGGAGTGCACAGTGACCCAGGTCACAGACTTGCCATGTTGGACCTGAGGGCCATGCTCAGCTGAAGCAATTGCTTTGGGTTTTTTTTGGGGGGGGTACTGGGAATCAAACTCGCTACCTCACGCTTGCCAGGCAGGCGCTGTGCCGCTGAGCTATATCCCCAGCCCCAACTGCTTTTTCACTTTTTTTTTACTACTTATTCTAGATTTCTTATTGTCCCAAGGCTGTTTCTTTGGTTTTGTGTGTGCGTGTGTGCACGTGTGTGTGCAGTACTGCGGATTGAACCCAAGGTCTTTGCACTGAGCTATGTCTCCAGCCTTTTTTGGGGGAGGGGGGTTCTCACTAAGTCACCACGCTGGGCTTGAACTTTTTTGTTTTTTTGAGACAGGGTCTCACTATATCCTTCAGGCTGGTCTCAAATGCATGGTGATCCTCCTGCCTTAGCCTCCCAACCACTGGGATTACAGGCATGTGCTACAAAGCCCAGTTTATTCTTCTGATCTTAACAACTAAGGATAACAGCTTAGTCCCTTAAAGACACACATACTGTCACAGAAACAGGTGCAACAGTTGCAAGCTGCAACGTGGTGTAAGAACTGCCAAGGGGACAAAAGCTTGTTGGAATTTCTCAGCAGAAGATACCCATGTCCTTTCCTCTGAAAGAGAGCCCCATGAGGGCTGCTGGACACCAGCCCTCTCTGCCTCTGTGACCCTGAAGTCAGGAAGTGCGACATGAGGTGAAGTGACACGCACTCAAACTTTCAAGAGTTACAGTTTGTCATTTTCCCAGCCTGACTCTAGCCCAATTCTGCCAATTCCAGCTAATCTTACTTCTTTTTCTCCAGGATATTTTGTGTTTCTACCAGGCAGGCAGGAGTGAAAAAAAAAAAGAAAATTTCAAAAAGCTTAATATTAACTCTGAAGACTTAAAGATCTCCTTCAACTCAAGATTCCTCTAATAATCAACTCTGGGTACTCAAAAAAAAAAAAAAAAAAATCAGGAACTCAGGGTCAGCCACAAGTCTGTCCTATCTACCTCACCCTGGCCAGGCAGCTCTCACATCTTCCCAGATGGGAGCCTCCTGCTGGCCAGCTACAGGGCTTCTCGTTCCTGAGCTTCCCCAGCACCTAGTACTCGGAGACCCTCTGGCCAAATGCCCCGAAGGGACAGAATCAGGAGTGGGCATTCCCAGCCTTGCCGGCTTGGTTTAACCACCACTACTGCTAGAAGTTCCACTTGTGCCTAACGGAACTGACTCTGGAAAGAAATGATTGCAGAGGCCTCTGCAGAACGTCACTCCACTGCTCAGCCAATACAGCTGCGCCGAAGTCCTGCGGACAGACTGAAAGTGGGGCTCACAAAGAGCAGGGGCCAGAGTACAGAGTCCCCAAAAGTGTGCTTTCTGAAGCCTCTTCCCCCAAAGGTCTTGGCTACTCTGTGCAAGGTGCAAGGTGTTGGGAGTGAGGCTGGAGTCCAAACAACCGCGTTCAGGTTTGTAACACATATCAGAAGACAGGCTCTGGGAAAGCATGGGAGTCTATTTTATTAGGCAGTGTGGAGCTTCCATCCCGTAAGAACAAGGCGCCCGAGCCCAGGCCCCACAAGTAGAAAGCAGCTTCACATTTCCAGGATACCCATCTGCTCACCTCTTCCCATCTAACCAACCCACCACCTGCTGTCAGTCCCTGACTTCACTGTCTCATGGCTCCGCATCCCAAGAACAAAGTCCTGGGAGCAGCCAAGATGACACGGGAATCTAGGACAAACTCCTCACTCAAGCCCAGAGCTCTCCAGGAGATCTGATGTCTGCCCTCAAAGTCAGCACTTCCTTAAAAAATCCTGTTCTTGGTATTCTAAAGTTCCCGAACAAACACCTAGACCTGCATATATAAAATAAAGACACAGAAACGAGGAGGAGTACACAATGTGCAGAGCCGAGAGGGCAGCATGCAGGGCGGTGTCACCTTGCTGACAGGAGCCCCACCCAGCACAGTGGGCAGCTGGGCTCGCAGACCTCTCACTGCATATGGCGCCCCTCACGGGAAGAACAGGAATGAGCCTGCAGACCGCCAGTCTTGGCAGGCCCCGTCCCTCCTGCTTCTGTGCCGGACACATTCGCGAGATGGAAAAGGGCCTCCCCGTCATGTGGATGACAGGATCACAGAACGCCCACACCCGGACCCATGCCCTAGACGCCAGAGCCCGGAGGCCGGGTTAGAGGGACCTCGGCCCGATCAGGCTGGCTGTGGCAGCTGAACAACCAGAACCAGAATGGCTGCCCAGTGTTTCTCCGAGGACCCAGTCCACATGGAGCAGCATTACCAGGGAGAATCAGGAGAGCGGCCAGCCACATCGTGAACGTGACAGAGAAGGACCCAACTTCCCAACCTGCCAGCCCCTGCTATTCCTACATGGTAGGGGCCTGACTCCCGCCAAGCAAGGTCCCAGCCCGGCAGCGTAACTGCCTCCGTTCAGAACGAGCGGGAGTGCGGCCCCTGGCTCTGGCTCCCCTCCCTGAGCCCGGCCGCGTCAGTACAGTTTCTCTTTCACGTGAGTCCTCTGGTGCGTGATGAAGTTGGAGCTGTTGCTGAAGCCCTTGCCGCACGCGGGACACTTGTAGGGCTTCTCGCCCGTGTGGATGCGCTGGTGGATGATGAGCACCGAGTTCCAGCTGAAGCCCTTGCCGCACTCGGGGCAGCGGTAGGGCTTGTCCCCCAGGTGCGCGCGCTGGTGCATGAGCAGGATGGAGCCGCGGCTGAAGCTCTTGCCACACATGAGGCACGGGTAGGGCTTCTCGCCGGTGTGCGTGCGCTGGTGCACCACGAGCTGCGAGCGCTGGCTGAAGCTCTTGCCGCACTCGCCGCACGCGTAGGGCTTCTCGCCCGTGTGCACGCGCTGGTGCTTGATGAGGTTGGAGCTCCAGCTGAAGCTCTCGCCGCACGTCAGGCACTCGTAGGGCTTCTCGCCCGTGTGCATGCCCTGGTGCGCGATGAGGCTGGAGCTCTGGCTGAAGCTCTTGCCGCACACCCCACACTTGTACGGCTTCTCCACCAGGTGGGTCCTGCGGTGCGTGGCCAGGTTGGAGCTGCGGGTGAAGCTCTTGCCACACTCGCTGCACTGGTAGGGCTTCTCGCCCGTGTGCGTCCTGCGGTGCGTGATGAGCGCCGAGCTCTGGCTGAAGCGCTGCCCGCAGTCCGGGCACTCGTAGGGCTTCTCGCCCGTGTGGATGCGCTGGTGGCGGATCAGGTTGGAGTTGTAGCTGAAGCGCTCGCCGCACTCCTTGCACACGTAGGGCTTCTCCCCCGTGTGGATGCCCTGGTGCGTGTTGAGGCTGGAGCGGTTGCTGAAGCTCTTGCCGCACTCGGGGCACGAGTAGGGCTTCTCGCCCGTGTGCGTGCGCTGGTGCGCAATGAGGTTGGGGCTGCGGCTGAAGCTCTTGCCGCACTGGACGCACTGGAAGGGCTTCTCGCCCGTGTGGATGCGCTGGTGGGTGACGAGGTTGGCGCTGCGGCTGAAGCTCTTCCCACAGTCCCTGCACTTGTAGGGCTTCTCCCCGGTGTGCGTCGTCTGGTGGCGGATGAAGTTGGAGCCGTCACTGAAGCTCTTGCCGCACTCATCGCACTTGTAGTACTTCTCCCCGGTGTGGGTCCGCTCGTGCGTGACCAGGTGGGACTTCCGGCTGAAGGTCTTTCCGCACTGGGGACACTCGTAGGGCTTCTCACCCAGGTAGGTGCCCTGAAGGCCTATGAGCTGGCCGAGCTCCCCGCCCTGGGCTGGCGCCTCCCCAGCATCCTCACTGGTGGCGGCTCCCCGGGGCCCCTGCAGGCTGCAGTCTCTCTCGGAGTCACTGTCCCCGTCAGACAGCTGCGCGCCACTTCCCTTGGGGATTCCCGAGAGCATCTCAAACAGGTCCGGACTAGGGTTCTCCCCATTCTGTCTCTGTATCTCAAAATCTGAAATGTTGGAGAAAAACAAACAAGGTCCACTCAATTCCCTGGCATGAGGAGAAAACGAAATCAAAGGGGAAAGTTTTTTAAATGAAACTTCTGATGAAATGAAACTAGAAAATCCTTAAAACTTTTAAAAAGCAGGTAGCTTTGGGCCTGGGGCTATGATAAAGCCTCTGCTTAGCAGCTGTGAGACCCTGGGTTTCATCCCCTGCTGAAAGCAACCCATCAATCCAGGTTTAACAACTGGATATTTAGCTGTCAGGCCTGACATCTTTGTAGTAAACACAAAGAGTTTCAAAGATTTGTGTTTCATGTCTACCTGTTTCTCCACCAAGAAATAGGGCCACATGGGAATCTGAAAATCCTAACTGAAGGACAACAGACAATGACCGTCAAAACTCACCATGGTGCTGATGCTTAGTAGGTGTTCAATTACATTTGGTAATTGGATGACAAGTTTTTTTTTGTTGGTATCACCAAGGTATTCCTAAGGCTCAATCCCTTTTCAAAACCTCATATAATGAGGTTTTGAAAACCACAACAACAAAAAAAAAGATGAAAGCCAAGACTTAGCATCTGCGACAGGCAAAGGTGGAGATGACCCAAATGTCTCTACATTTAGCTGAACCAGGGAATGCCAAGTGGTATCACATCCCAGGCTGAACAAACTATGGTGTACATAGCAAAATAGCTTTAAAAAGGAACCAAAGCTCAGCATGGCATACATGCGGCCCTGGGTCTGATCCTCACCACAGGGGTGGGGACTCTGCCCCATGCTTCAACACAGATAAACCTGGAAGACGTTAATTATACTGTGTGGAATAAGTCAAACCCAAAAGACAGAAATTGTATGATTTCTCTTACAGGAGCTACTGAGAATCATTGAAATCATAGACAAAACCAGCTGCAACAGTCCCCAGCTACCTCGGGGCTGAGGGGGAGGATCATGAGCCCCAGAGTTCAAGGCCAGTCGGGGCCCATGACTCTAAAGGGAAAGAAAAAAAAAAAGGCCTGGGATGTGATGTAACTTGGCACTGCCACGTTCAGTGCCCAGTACTGCGCCCCACCCCTGTCATGAAGACTGAAAATAGACGGCTGGTTTCCAAGAAGCAGTAGGAAGAATAGAGTTATTGTTTGGTGGGTACAGAGTTTCAGTTTGAGAAGAGGAGAGAACTCATGAGGAAACACAGAGACGCATGCTCTTGAGGATGTATTTTATTTTTGTAATGCAAAAGGCCCAGGCCTCAAGCACACTAGACAAGTGCCTGCCACTGGGCTATACTGTTAGCCTCTGAAATTAACTTTTAAAGATTATCTAAAATGCTCTGAAAGACAGAGGATTCCTAGAAACACTCAGAAATCTAAGGAATCTAATTTACCAAAGAATAGTATCTTAAATGGGTATCTCCCCAAAATTCGTAAGAGATCTTTTTGCACAGTTAACTATATTCCTTCACTTTTAAACTGCCTATTCCTATCTTTTATCTTTTTCTACTGAGTTGACTTACAAATTGGTAGCTCTTGGAGATCTAGAATTTTGACTCTTGATCTGCTACTCTGTAGTCTTGTTTTAAATATTTCCTTCCAATCCTTGCAAGCTTTTTTAAAATTTTTGTGTTTTTGAGATGGGGTCTTGCTATGTAGCGCAGGCTGGCGTGGAACTCACAGTGATCCGCCTGCCTCAGTCTCTAGAGTGCTGGGGTTATACAGGGGAGCACCACCACACTCATCTCGGTGTCCTTTTTTTTTGAGACAGAGTCTCACTATGCAGTTCAGGCTGGCCTTGAGCTCACTTTGTAGCTCAGGCTGGCCTCAAACTCGCAATGATCCTCTTGCCTCAGCCTCCGGAGTGCTGGGATTATAGGTATGCACCACCACGCTCAGCTCAGTATCTTTTTTTTTGTCTTTTTGAGACAGGGTCTCACTGTGCAGTTCAGGCTGGCCTTGAGCTCAGTTTGTAGCCCAGACTGGTCTCAAGCTGGCAACAATCCTCCTGCCTTGGCCTCCCGAGTGCTGGGATTATAGGCGTGCGCCCCCACGCCCAGCTCTCTTTTTAAACAAAGAACTTTTCTTCTATTTTTCATGAGTTCAATATAGTTTTGATTACTTTTATAATGCTTATGAGAAGTCCTCCCCAACCCCAGACTAATAAAAATATTCTACATGTCATTTCAGATCTTGGATAGTATGAATCTATCTGGAATTTATTTATGTGTAATTTAAGAAGCAGAAGTCTATCTCTGCTTAAAGTTAGAATGCAGGGATCCAATATTAGTTTTTTCAAAATGATTAGATCACTGTCCAAAATCCAATCACTCAACAGTTTTTAAAGTGCCAGTCTCCCTTTATTGGTAGACAAAAGGTGCAGTTGTAGCTTCGTCTAAACCAAAGGTTCATGTATTTTCCCACCCCAGACACCTGGGACTCAGGTCCGCAGCAATTAATTCCCTGGCCACCCACAGGCCTTGTATTTCCTGCCTGGCCATACCCACAACAGAAAGTGTATTACAATAATCGAGTGAGGAAAACTGCTTTCAACACAGGGAGAAACATGAACTTGCTCTATAGGAGCTGCCCTCATCTATCCCGAGTTTCACTTTCTGAGTTTCAGTCACTCTTGCTCAACTGAGGTTCAAAAATATTTTTAAGATTTTGGAACTCAAAGGCCAGGCATGGTGGGACACATCTGTAATCCTAGCACTCAGGAGGCTGAGGCAGGTGGATCACAAGTTCAAGGACAGCCGGGCGTGGTGGTGCACGCCTGTAATTCCAGCACTAGGGAGGCTGAGGCAGGAGGATCGTTGTGAGTTTGAGACCAGCCTGGGCTACAAAGTAAGCTCAAGGCCAGCCTGAACTGCATATCGAGACCCTGTCTCAAAAAGACAAAAAAAAAAAAAAAATTGAGAACTCAGCAATTCATAATTATTTTTATTAATTCATAAGTTTTAAATAACTTTTATTATAACATTGTTATAATTGTTCTAGTTTAGTTGGTAATCCCTTACTGTACTTAATTTTTAAGTTAAGCTTTATCATAGGCATAGATATATAGGAAAATAGGCACTAAATACAGGATTTGGTGCTATCTGCTGTTTCAGGAATCCACAGGGTGTTGGATGAATCTACTGTGGATGCAGAGACTCCTGTAACCTATCTATAATAAAGAAAACAGTTACTTGCAGGCTTTGGTGCTTTAGTGTGTGTGTGACTCATATCCCCCAAAGTCCTTCTTGCCTGGTAGTCCTGACACCATGGCTGGGCCAGTAGCCTACATGCAGCCTCCTGCCTGGTACAGGCTTGGCCTGGGCTCTGCCCCCGGAGCACCGCCCTGGCCAACCAGACCTGGGCACCTGTGACTAGGGCCATGGTTCCACCTGAACCCTGGCTTCCAGAGAGACTAACCACTGATATAAACAGCCATGAACCCTGTCATCAGTTTAAACAACCACCAAACACTTTACAGTTGTAACGCTCCTGTTCCCTAAGAGTTCTGTGTGGCATACATTCCAAAGGCCGAATTTAAGTGAATTAAAATTTTGTGCTGAAGCTAAGAATTGGAGTTTAAACACTAATGTATTCCTGCATAGTCCCCCAATCCTCCCCACTTCTTTCTTGCTAAGGAAAATGAATGTGCATGAATGTAACCATTAAGGGACCACTTTGCTGGGGCAACCAGGCCTAACTGAGATGACCTGGTTTCTGGTACCATGGACACCAGACGATGCCAAGGATGGCAAAGAGGTGAACTGTGAGACTCTGGCTCCACTGTGAGTGCATGAGTAGGTCTGGAGTTGATAACCTCTACTCCTTCCCAAACTTCGAAGTCAGAAGAGTCCTGGCAAGCTTGTTAAATGCAGACTCCGCTTCCACAGGCCCAAGGTGTGATTGGTAATCTGTACTTCCTCTGCATTGCCAGATAAGCCTGTACGAGGCAGACTATTGCGTAGTAGTAGTAAAAGCTCTCAAGTGCTGGTCTTTAAACTTTGCTGTAAAACAGAACCACCTGCTGGAGCTTTCTAAACTCACTGGCCCCAGGGCTTGGGATGTAGCTCAGGGGTATGGCACTGGCTTATTAGCAGGGGAAAGGCCCTGGGTTCAACCTCCAGCATCAGAAATGAAGAAAAAAAATCCCTTGTCAGGGCATGTCCCATACCAAGAAACTGGAAAATCAATCCTATGGAGTGGGCACTGCTGACGCCCTGAGAACTGTGAGTCAAGGTTCAAGGTTCCCCATCTATGTCCTTTGGGAAACCCTCAGACCCTGTCTGGTGACAGCTTTGGAGTGGGATTTGCATTTTTATTTTATTTTTTTGTTTCTGAAGGGTTTTTTTGAGACAGGGTCTCACTATGTAGTTCAGGTTGGCCTTGAACTCTAGTCTAGGGTGGCCTTGAATTCACAGTGATTCACCTGCCTCAGCCTCCTGAGTACTGGGATTACTGGCCTATGCCACCAGCCCAGCTAAGATCTGCATTTTAAACACATTTCCAGATGATGCTGTGCTATTGGCCAGAGGATTTTTATGCATCAGGAATGTTCCTCCAGAGGTCGCTGGTCCAGCCCTCCACACAATTGCTTCCTATCAAGAGACAGACAGGGTCGCCCCAAGTCCCTACCCCAGCCAGTGCAGATTCTCCATAACTTTTGGTTTCCAAATTCAAAACCTGTCTACTCACACAAATGCTGTGTGCCCCACACACAACTGTGGCTGGAGTAGATGAATCTAAGATGAAACTAGCTAGTTTTCTTCTTCTAAAGGAAAAAAGAGAGAAAAAAAAATTTTTTTTAAAAAAAAGGAAAAAGAAGGGCCAGGGATATAGCTGAGCAGCACAAGCACCTGCCTGGCAAGTGTAAGGTCCTGAGTTCAATTTCTGGTACCAAAAAAAAAAAAAAAAAGAAAAAGATCAAGCTCCAGAGCTGAGGACAGGTTCTATTGGAGTTACAACAAAAAAAAAAAAAAAAAGAAAAAGATCAAGCTCCAGAGCTGAGGACAGGTTCTATTGGAGTTACAACCTTGACAGGGAACCTTGGCACCTAGACCAGAACACTACCATCTCTTATAGGCTTTGGGGCTTTATGGGGTTATAAGAGGAAATCTGTGGTTGCCTTGGAGTTTGTGCCTAGTGAACCACTGCAGCTGTGGTCAGCTGTTTTGGAAACTATGGTTGTTAAGACTGATTTATTAAACTGCTGGGAAACTGATGTGGAGACTGCCTATTCTGGGAAAACAGGGCCTGGGGGAGGGGGCCAAGGCTGGTCATGACTTGGCTAGGACAGTAGTGGGCTGATTCCTTCCCAGAGAGAGGGCTGGGCAGCAAGCTTATACTCTGGCCCGGAACAGCTGAGATCCTGGCAGCTTTGCAACATGAAATGTGGGAACAGCACATACCTGCAAACTCTGAATTCTTTTAAATTTTTTGGTATTGGAGATTGAAACTAGGGCCTTCATACTGAGCTACAGCCTCAGCCCTTTTTACTTTTTATTTTGAGGTAGGGGCTCACTAAGTTACCCAGGCGAGGCTCAAACTTTTGATATTCCTGCCTCAACCTCCCAGAATGCTGGGATCACAGGCATGCACCACCATGCTTGGCTGCATATGCTATTTTTAAAAATAGCTTTATTAGCATAAATAAGATTCATTTGATTTGCTGAATATAAGCAAAGGATTAGTATGTAGCTTCTAAGAATAAAAACCACGCAGGGTAAGAGTAAGCACTCTTTGGCAGGACTAAGCTGCTTATTTCTGGGGTCTAAGTGCAACCTTTCTTACTCCTTTGCAGATCAGAAGTGTCCTGGGCTATGTTCTGCTCCATCTGTGCTCAACCCACTTTGTTTTCAGACCAAAGCTTAGCCTGTCTTTCAGATCAATGCTTATCCTGACAGAGGCTGGAAGGAGGAAGCCTGCCCTCTTCCTCCTCTGAGCAGGTGAGCGGGGGACCCGCAGGCAGGAAGGTTTCCCTTATTCATCTCAACAGTGCTTTGAGTTCCCACTACATGGGGGAACTATGAGAGGGGGTGCGGGAGGAGGAGGGAAGACTGGTTCCTAGAAGAAAAACAATGAGTAGTATCCCTATAAGCAGCAAACAAGATGTACTGTAAGAAAAAGCCGAAAGACAAGAACCCAAATGTCCTGGGGAAATGACTTCCAGTAGAGATGATAAGAGATGCCCCAAGTAGGTCAACTGGGGACAGAAAAGAAGAGCTAAGGACAGCCTTATGGAGAGGGTCTCTGTGAGCAGGCACTCAAAGGTCAGGAATTTCACCTCAGAGGTCAGAAATGGCCATCCTGGACAAAGACGCAGAAGCAAGCACAGTCATGTTCACGGAGCAGCAAGACCTGGTCTGACAGAGCAGGGGCTGTGGCCGGGGACTGGGGAGGGGACCAGCTGCCGGGGAGGTCTCAGCCAGGTCCCACGGGGCCACGGGTCCCATGAAGAAGGAGGTCCTGCCTGCTGTGGCAGATAGTAAGGAGTGTAGGGAGATGTTAAGCGGCTCAATGGTGGGAGAAAAGAGCTTCAGAGTTGAGGCAAGAGGATAAAGGCAGGTTGGGTCTGGAGGCTGCCACAAAACTCAGGTGAGAAATCCCAAGAGCTTCAATCAAAGCTGCGGATGGGGTTCACGTTCGCAAGCAGAGATGAGCTTTGCCACACAAACTGTCACTAAAGCTCTGGACTTACGGCAGGAAAGGCATTCAAAATGTGAGCACCTACAGGTGCCTGTTGGTCAAACATTAAAGCACCACCATCTAATCAGGCTCCCACATGTCCTCCGCTAGGCGATTATGTCCAAATATCCTGTACTGGGCACACACAACAGAGGTCAGGTGGTGCGGTGTTCAGTAAATGTCTGAGAAGTGATGAAGTAAAGTGCAGAGATCGGGGCAATCACAAAGAAGTTGGGGGAATCTGTGAAACAAATAAAGTCCCAAAAGACAGTTTAAGAGTCACAAAGACAGTCTAAGAGGCAGAAGTCTGGAGCGGGTCTCACGGTCAGATGTCCGGTGAAAGATGTGAGGCACAGGCCCTACAGCAAGCAAGTGCTGAGAGCTATAATCACCTCAAGACACTGCTGAGACCAATGCCCTGCTGACCTCCCCACCTAAATAACCATCCCAAAGTCTTCTCTCCGGCCCTCCACCCCTCTGCTATCTCTGTCTGAAGATGCAGAAGTCCATTACAAACTACTTATATCCATCAGGAGTCAAGTAAACAAAATCTTGAAACAGGATGAGAAATTTTTATTTTTCCTTAAGATTTTAAACTGGAAACAGGAGTGGTGGCACACACCTGTAATCCCAGCACTCAGGAGACTGAGGCAGAAGGATCGATGCGAGTTCAAGGCCAGCCTGGGCTATATCACTTAACTTTGTTGGCCGTGAGAACCCAGCTTATCTCCCAAGTTGAAGTTTTACGTGATTTTTTTCATATTGGATGCTAAGCGCACTGCCTGGCCTGCAGAAAAAACTGGAAAATACTAGCTATTGCTACTATTAGTTCTCACCTGTCCAACGTCACCCTCTTCCCCTGCTGTCCCATCTCGGGCTGACCCCCATTACTGCACACCCCACAACACAAGCAGGCAGCTTCCTGGCTGCTCTCCTGCCTCCAGTGTGCCCCTCCCCTAATCACAGCTCCTTCCTGTTGCTGTATTCTGCTTCCTCCCAGGCCCTGTGAGCCCTCTGCCTAGAACCTGCTGGGACCAGTGCTGGTCGGTCCAAGCCTCCACCGCCCTTCCCCCAAACTCCCATCACTTCCTAAAGCCCTTTGCCTTTCCAGCCAGCTCTCCCCACTGTCATGGGAAGGAACACATCACCCTGGTCCCTCCTCTCAGTGGCCATGGCATCATCCCTGACCTATGATTTTCCACATTCCACTCCATCCTGCAACCTCCCGCTTACACTTGACTTCTCCCAGGAAGCCTTCACGGGACCTCTCCTTCCCCCACTCCTTTCTCTGAAGTTCACTACAGCAACCATGCCCACAGGCCCTGAAACCGTCCTGGGGCACAGGCAGATCTGAAGTAAGTATCTGCCAATCAAGTGAGTCCAGTCTGCAACCGAAGCCAAGTGCGGACAGGGCGATGAGACAGCAAACCAAGATCCCTCAACTAACTAGTGACAGAGCAGAAAAAACAGTAACCCTTCAAAAGAGCTCAAGTTTGGAACTACTCTTTCAAGGGTCCGAGATGACTTTATACCACAGAAAGTCCCTAGGTATCAGCTGGTTTCCCTGTCATTTATTTTGGTTTCCTAAAACACAAACACTTTGAACAAATTGCACTTTTCTTCTAGTTATTTGGAACTACCTGTTGCGAAACCAAGCAAAGGCGCCAAGGCATGGCTTTTGGGGACCTTCAGCCCCTCTTCCCATAACCTTTACTAACTTCCCAACTGCTCCAAATAAACGTGTAAGTAGGAAACGTGTGCCCACTATGCAGATGTAGCACCAAGCGCAGTCCTTGAGCCCCTCCTGCTCTGAAATGTGGAGCGAGCACTGCACACAGCGTGAGCATTAGAGGAGGGAGAACAGGCTGCCACTGAGACAGAGCAGAGGGAAGGCGCTGTCCATTGTACTGTCCTGGAGTCTACCTTCTCTTCCACCATGGGCCCATGAGGTTGCGCATCTTACCACCATCGCGAAGGGTCTGGGTCAAGTCTTCCACCAGGGCCTCCGCCTCCTCGCTGCTCTCGGGCCGATGCTCTTGCAGCCAGGCCTGTATTTCCTTTGGCAGCATGGTCAACATCTGCTCCTTTGTGTGGACCTCTGGCCTCAGCCAGCGTCGACAGAGTTCTCGGAGGCGGCCGAGTGCACTCCGTGGTCCCCCAGCTGCGGGCTCCTCCTGTGGGCTGCCCTTGCCGGCACCCTGGGCAGAGAGTTCGGATTCAGGGCCGTCCTCCTGCAGCACGGCCTCCTGCACCCAGGAGTCATCCTCCAGGACCACAGTGGTGGCCGCCTCCTCCTCTTGGTCTTCTTCCTCTGGAGGCACCTGGACCAAAGGGCTCAGGGGAGCACTCACTACTGGCACCTCTGCAGCCATCATGCACCTTCATGGACAATCACTCAGGCTGCAGGCCTTGAGCCTTGACTTCTCCAGCCAAGCTTTCAGAGAAGACACCTTCTCAATCTCAATCTCAACAAGAAGTCCTGCCAAGAATAAGACAGAGAACCAGAGCCACTAAGTATCCTAAAAACAACTGACACTAGCCCAGGTTAACCCAGCAAGTGATCCTTACATCCACAAACCAAGTTTCCTGTTCCTCTTAAATGAAGAATGCCTCATCCTGAAAACAGATCTCTTGCAGGACACAGTGGTGCACGCATGTAATCCCAGCACTATGGGAGGCTGAGGCAGGAGGACTATTACATTCAAACCAGCCTGGGCAATTTAGTGACATAGCAAGACCTTGTTGCAAAATGAAAAATAAAAAGGGCTGGACATGTGGTTCAGTGCAAAGGCTCCTGAGTTCAATCCCCAGTATGGAAAAATAAATGAATGCATAAGTAAATAAATAAATAATTCAATCACAATAGCAGCACTGTGCTTTCCAAGAAACCAAAGAATGAGTATCAGAAATGCAATGTTAAAATACACACACACACACATACACACACACACAGGACTTACCCTGCTCTAAATCAGTTCAGACTTGCTGTAGAGCAGGTGACCTTGACCTAACATACAAGTTAATCACTCAACCTCAGTAACCACTGAACAGATAATAACACTCATCCTTCTTATCCTATAAGGATATCTTACAGATTAGCAATAGATCAGATCTCAAGACACTCTGAGTTTCACCTGATGGCAAATGCCTCAGTATCCTTACGGGAACAGTTCCAGGAAACCCAGAGATACCAAAATCTGTGGCTGTTCAAGACACTTACATATAAAATGGTGTAATATTTGCAAATAACCTGTGCACATCTTTCCATGTATTTTATTTTTTCTTTTTTTTGGGGGGGGTTTGTTGTTGTTTTCAGGGTGTTGCTGTATCGTTGAAGCTAGGCTTGAACTCACTATGTAGTCTAGTCTGGCCTCAAACTCATGGTGATCCCCCTGCCTCAGACTCCTGACTGCGGGGTTTACAGGTATGCACCACCACATAGCTTTCCATGTACTTTAAATCATCTCTAGATTACATATAATACCCAAAACAATGTAAGTGCTATGCAAATAGCTATACTATACTGTTTAGGGAATAAACATGAAAATAATAAGGGAAAAAAACTTCATGTTCAGAATAGATGCAATTTAAAAACTTTTTTTCAAGCCTGAGAAAATATATATATCTTTTTGAGACAGGGTCTCTTATGCAGTTCAGGCTGGCCTTGAGCTCACTTTGTAGTCCAGGCTGGTCTTGAACTCACAAC